TTCTAATTCCTCATACAAGTTTATAACTCATTTGGTACTGGTTATTAGATGGACACTCTCTAGCATCACTTTAGCGTCGCTCAACGATCGTCCATAAATTATACTCTCACCGTCAATCACCTAATGAAAACTAAAGTGAAATGAAATGTACATAACATAATCAGTAGTAAATTAATCTATTCAGTTTTCATTATTGATTTTTGATTACATTAAAACATTCAAATGTTCTTTAGATTAATTTGGTGCAGTTTTGTTCTCTGAGCTGGATGGTTTGGTCGTGGAGCTTTCATCGTTCTTCTGAACGACATCATCAGCACAAACTTCAGATAGATCAATCGACAAAACTCTTAATTTGATTTATTACAAAAGATGCATCTACAGTCTTAAAATAGCTGATACTCATGAAAACTTCCCTATGAAATTGAAAACCATCTAACCTAGTGTTATTATTCAAAGAGGTTGATTATTAACTAATCATACTGCAATTGAGTTCTTGTAGGCTACATGAAAATTCCTTGATATTCGGTATTATTATTATGATTGTTAGTCACTAATTTGTTCGTGGGAAAATTCAGTATATTATTCACAAAATGAATTTAAGCAAATTAGTTATAACCAACAAATTATAATTTATCAGAAAGGGGTTTTGTGAAGATTTTAGTAATTTAATAATTGAATCCATGAGTGAATTAAAGCTAGACCACCATGAAAACCCGGAAGCACTCAAAGACTGTTTTCTCCTAGCGTGGGACTCACCAGCAGTGTACACCCTCGATCCCGCCTCGTGGGACTCGAACCCAAGACCTATCAGTCTCGCGCCAGGCGCTTAACCACCTAGACCACTGAGCCGGCTGCCATTCAACGGTGTTAATGTCTAGCCTCAAATAATCCACGAAACTGAGCGACAAATCCACCATTGTCATCAGTGAGTTACTATCTCACAACAGACCCGGTTGAACTCCACTGGTCACTGCTTCTCACTAGAACTCCAGGATATACCTCTTGAAGCCAGTCACTAGTGAGCATATGTGCATCAGTATCAGATGGGGTTTTGTGGAGATTGTAGTAGTTACAACGGTTGAGATCATGAGTCAATTGAAGCTAGACCACCATGGAAAACCTAGAAGCACTGGACAGCTGTTTCATCTTAGTATGAGAATCCTCAGCAGTGCATGAGACCGATAGGTCCTGGGTTCGAATCCCGCCAGTGGGACCGTGGATGTGCACTGTTGAGGACGAAACAGCCATCCAGCGCTTTCAGGTTTTTCATGGTAATCTAGCTCATGAATTCAACTATTAAATTATAATTTATTTAACAGGATCCTTATCATACCACCTGATCACTTCTAATTTCATAATCACATCGAAATCTTTTTTATAATTATTCAAAACATTGAATTGAATGACTAGATAAGTGTGTTGAATTTTGGCTACATTACACTAACAATGTTATGATTTTTTCCTACTTACACTCACTAAATATTAATCCCTTAACATTACTAACTGTATATCCCAAAACAATCGGTAACCCATGCAATATCGATTCCTTAAAGTATCAATCAGAATACCAAAAAAGATACAAACTGAGTAAACGCTCTATGATTTATTTACTGTTATTTACGACTGGTAAGAGATGCAGCAACAGTTACGGAGTTAAATAGCTGTCAATTAGGACAATATAAAAACATTATAACACAAGTGCTTAGTTAAAGTACAAAAAGATATACATACTGAATTCCCAAAGAATTACCTCCTTTTTGAGATGGTAGAGAAGATTTGTAGCTTAGATAGATGATATTGATGGAGTTTTGTTAGTTAATTAACTTCTACAATTCTAGTAGTTAAATCCATGAGTAAATCTAAGTTAGACTATCACTGAAAACCCTGCAACACTGGACAGTCGTTTCGTCCCAATATGGGGCTCATTGGCAGTGTTCATTCACAATACCACATGTGGGACTAGAAGCCACGACCTTCTCTCTTACGACCAGACGCTTAACCTCTAAATCAGTAACTCAACATCTAACGGTGTTAATGTCTAACTTCAGTCGATCCATGATTTCGCACAACCCTTCTGATGGTGGTCTGAAGTGCATAACTGTCTCCACCCAACACCGATTGAGCTCACTAAAAATTCCAGGAAATTACTTCACCCCTCCCTCATAGACTATTTTTTACACTATCATTTAAGATCATTACATAAATTCGATTTGATACATAAAAGTAGTTATACCACCTTTATTTTTTTCTTCTGTCTAGACCGTTGTATACATTAAATATAGACTACTTTTTCTTCATTGAAATATCGTCCGCTTTTTTAATGAAGTAACAAATTTCTACTAGTTATTAGTTACTTTCTATTTACATCACATTGCAAAGTATTACATAACTTAGTTATTGATACTATTATCAACAATCCACTAAGAGAGAGAACAAACTAGATCCCAGCGGAGGAAGATATTAAGAAGAAGCGTTGGAAGTGGATAGGACACACATTGAGGAAAGCACCGAACTGAGTCACAAGTCAAGCCCTCACATGATATCTTCAAGACCAAAGGAGGAGGAGGGGAATACCAAAGTACACATTACGCTGAGAAATGAAGACAGACATGATAAAAATGAACAAGAATTGGATGGAACTAAAAAAGAAGGCCCAGGACAGAGTGTGTTGGAGAATGCTGGTCGGCGGCCTATGTTCCATTAGGAGTAACAGGCGTAAGTAAATAAGTAAATAAGTAGTTATTGTTTAATAATAAGTAGCTTATAAGTAGATTAGTACGTTGTATGAAAAATGTTTTCTTTTTTAAAACTGAACTATTTATAATCATTACTGTATTAAATTTTAGTAACAAATATAATGAAGTCAAGATTCAACTATCAAATTATAAACCTTCATTCAACACTCTCTATTTTTCTATGTTATCAATTCATATTTGTAATTCCTCTATTTTATTGTCTTTATATTACAGAAAAAAAGATGTAATCAATGATTTAAAAACTAGACCTCAGTGACATGATTAAACGAAAACTTTAAGTGAAAACAATAAATAAATCTGATTTTCCCATATGGTACATTATATGAAATGGTTATGACAATGTTGAATGTGTCGTTCAGTTTCGTGGATTAGTTGAAGTTAGATATTAGTACCGTTGGATGACGACCGGCTCAGTGGTTTAGTGGTTAGGTGCTCGCGCGCGAGACTGATAGGTCCTGGGTTCCACTCCCGCGGGGCGGGGTCGTGAATTCTCACTGCTGAGGAGTCTCGCAATAGGAAGAAACGGCTGTCTAGTGCTTTCAGGTTTTCTATTGTGGTCTAGCTTTAATTGACTCATGATTTCAACTATTGAAAGATGAAGTAGTTTGGAAATATTTGCACTACTTATCAAATAGTTTTCCAGGGAAAAATTAGAATTCTGCTGACTCATAGTAAATGTGAAAATAAAGCATTTATATTCATTTTGTATTGATCAATCTCTTATTAGCATATGTTCATTCTGTACGGATTGTAGTCTCAAACATTAATGGGAAGATTCAAACAACCGATAGAAAATAAATCTAAACTTCCCCCATTGCACAAGCTAGTGGATATTTGGACTCAGTGAATAAAGCGATAGTGTTTAAAGCGAACGGTACTGGATTCGAATCCCAGCGTGATGCATGTAAATCCAACCAACGAGTTCCAAATAGAACAGAACGCGAGTCCTGTATTCCATTGTTAGCCACCATCCATGTTTGCTTACGAAACATTTATATGGTATAATAATGTTCTATTTGTAGTAAATCTCTAAATACTATTAATATTTCAGTATATTAAGGTGATACAATCCAACATTCTAATTGACTAAACATAAAACACTAGGACAAAACGTTTGTTCAGTGCTTTCAGGTTTTTCATGGTGGTCTAGCTTCAATTGACTTATGAATTCAACTATTAAAATTAGTATAATATCCACAAAAATCCCTCTTTAATTATAAAATGTTTGTGAAAGCTATTACCTAATATAGTAATATGGTTACAAACTTACTCTGATTATTATCATTTTATTTTTATTCAACTCATTGTATATTACTGAGTAATAGACTTTTTCTTTTAAATAATCATTGTTATTCTATTTTGCATAATACCCAGAAGTAGAAAAACAGAACTTTAGCTTTAATATCTTGCTTAGTTCAAGTGATGAATACACTTAATTCAAGTCTCAATGGAAACCACAATAGTCAAGTAGATGTTCATTTCAGTTCAGTTAATTTAAGTGAATACTAAAGAATCAACATGTAAATACATTGATTATTGAGACTTTTTATTCAAGTTATTCAAATGTCAGTGGATATTAAAAATAAAAGGTCAACTAGACTGGAAATGAGGGGGACAAGAGGAGACAATGATAATAATAATAATGGGTTCGAATCTCGCGGGGTGCGGGATCGTGGATGCGCACTGCTAAGGAGTCCCGTACTAGGAATTGAAGTCAATTGTATCTAAACAATAGTGGTATAAATTTTATTTTGGTCAGATGAATTTGACTTTTATGAATGATCAGTTATAATCTAGTTGTATGAATGGTGATAAGATAGAAATAAGTTGGATCCAATCGTGTTTTGCAATTATTCCGACTGAAGGAGGTCGTTTTCTTAAAGGATCATACCTAGAGCTTCCGACCTAAAGATTTGATCCATAAGGTAGTGGAGAAACGTCAGGAGATGAAATCTCATTGTAGTCATTTTATCCTGGTTTCCTAGGGTTTTCCATCTCCACTAGATGGATTCTTTATACCGACCAATCCGGTTAAAGCGTTGGACATTAGCTTTTCGTACTCTCAATTTCGTAAACTATACTTCTGAAGCAATGGCTATATATACGTGGCCATATGAGAACATTTCAAAAGGGATAGTAGACTCTTTCTCTCTCTACCCTTAACCGTACCAGGATATTCGAAGGCATTAATTATTAACAATTTATAATAGACATTAAATTAAAATTATATATATTCTAACTTACCTGGATCATGTACTTTAACTAAAACAAAATCTTTTATATAATTTGATTCACCACGTTGTAAATGTCTTTGTAATATACGTCTTGAACCAATTTTCACTTGTTTTAAATCATTACCCATAGAACCAGTTGAATCAAATACAATAGCTAATGATATAGCTGATATTGGTATTGAATCTTGTATATTGAATAATGTTAAATTATATGGTTTCTTTTGTATATTTATTAAATTCGATGTTAATATATCATATTCATTGAATTCATGATTTATTTGATAATTTGGATCATAATCATTATGGATTGATTGTTGACATGTAATAATTAAATCATTATTCAATATGATCATAAAAACAAATCCAAATTTTATTAAATATTGCCAATATTGATAATTGATCATTTTGAATTAGTTAAAATGTTTAAATTCAATTAAAAAAATTTTCGCGCGATTTTATTGAAATGCATAGAAACAAGAGTTAAGTTAGATACATGATTATTATTATGACTTAGTAACTAAGTGAAAATGAATTGAAGTTTAATATTGGTACTTTCTTGGAATGAGGCATTTATTTATTTATTTTTATTTTTTTTGTATTTTTTTGCATTTTTTTCGTATTTAATATGATGCATAATTTAGAACCAATCTTTACTGTTTATTTATGCAATCCGTAACTTCTATCAGTATAGTCATTGTAGTCGTCGTCGTCGTCGTCACTATTATGATTAGTTTGTTATTGTTAGTGTAATTAGTGTTATAGTTATGGTATTACAACCGGCACAAATGTCTATGTATGTGTGTGTGTGTACGTATATGTATGCTTTCATCATAAAGAGACTTGTAGAAATCGACATAGATGCCTTCATTATGTATATGCATATATGAGATTTTGTATCCTATATACACATATGTTACTAGGTTGACTAACACTGATTGTTTTGTCTGATAAAACATGTAGGGAAAGAAAATCAATATGAACATTTTAAATACTATGTACATGTGCATGAAAAAAAAGTGAGATAGATAAAGAAATGATGGGAAGAAAATAGTGTGAGTGTGTGTGTGTGTGTGTTGAGGAAGCACATTTATACCGATATATGAATATAGCGTATATACATAATATGTGCAAACAGTTGTTTTTGTAGTTGCCTTCATATGCATTGTGTAAAATGTTTCCAATCATTTTATAATGAAATCAATGAAGATAGGAAAAACAAACATGAGAGCCAAAGTATTTTGTTATGATTACTGGTCGATGACAAATAAAAACAAAAAAATATCTATCTATCTGAATAATGAACAAAATATGAAAGAAAATGTAATTAAGTTTACTTGGTATTGTTTGGCTTGTATGTTCCCATTGAGGTTTAAGACTGCATTTGATCAGTCTGCTGTTGGCATATGTGCACACTGTGCGTATGCCTCGATATTATCGTAATTCACAAGCTATTTGTAAGCAGTGATGGTGGCTATCAGGATGCAGTAGCTGAGTGAATAATGCGATGGCGTTTGAAGCGAATGGTACTGGGTTCGAATCCCAAAGTGAACATCAGCTCGGAGATACAGGTACATCCAGCTGACGAGTCTCAAATAGGACGAAACGCGCATCCTGGATTTCACTGCAAGCCATTATCCATCATTGCTTACAACCAAGATAATAATTGGAAAAAATTATGCTATATTATAAATTGAGTGAAACTCAGTAATCTCTAAGGGTATTATTATCAATTATAAGTTATGAATGGTATTTTGTGGTAACTGACAGTTTAGTTTCTTGATTAGTCTTTAAGATAAAACAATTGTTCACTTTTTTTCCTTGAGATTATGAGGAAATCTACATACTTACACTTGTTACTCCACGTGGAGGAGTATAGGCCACTGTTATCCAACTTTATCCTGAACAGTCTTTTCTAATTCTTTCTAGTTGTTATTCAGCCTTTTTCATGTCTGCTTACAATTCTCGATGTAGCGTTTTTTTGGTCTTACTCATTTCTGTTTCTCTTCACTATTCAACTTGATGATTTCTACAATATATGTATCACTATGATGAAAACTTCACTTAAGTTGTATAAGATCTTTATAAAAGCACAAACAAAGCATTATATCATTTAAAATATTAACAAATATATAAAATTCGATGCTCGAAACGTACCATAAATAAATTTCATTATAAATCAGTTGATAGATACTTGGTTTTGAACATCAGTTTGATCAGAATTATAGACAAGTTTTCTAACAACTACTGAACGTACACGAAATCATAGATTTATGAGTCTAAACGACTGCATTTAACTACATAATATCTAATTGAAAACCTAGAAGAAATAAACAGCTTTTAAGTCCTAGTGTTGACCTTCTCATTAGCTCACATCCATGACCACATCAGGGATCAAACCTAGGAAATTCAGGTTTTTTAGAGAGTGTCTGGCCTTTGAACCATTGTTCAGCTATCTAATGACATAGTTTTGACTTCAACGAATTTGGAATATTTAGTGACCATCGTACACTAACACTGTTGACATTTATCTCATGTATATGGTTAAACTGCATTGGACACTGCTTCACACTATATGGTGAATGTATAATATCGCAAATAGATTGGAGTTAAAAATATGAACCGTTATATTGGAATCCAGTGATCTGAAAGTTAAGTTCTCATCATGAGTCCTGCATATCCTAAGCTCGACACATGATATAATACCAGGAAGAAATAACTGACCTATGTAACCTGGTTTCAAAGATCATTTGAACAAAATCAGTTTGTGATATGGAAATCCAAATTCACCAATTTACTTAATATACTATGATACAAAATATCTGGTTAATTATACCATGGTGTCAATTCCTTCAGACTGTTGACTACATTTCAGCTTGATTAATATAATTAGATCATCATTAGGAACTAGAAAAACGTTATATTGTTGACTTATAAGTGACTATAATTAGTGTGAAATTGGACTAGTTACATCTTATTGGACATTATCTCTAGTACAATGTCTTTTTGAAGTTATAAAGTATGCTTGGAAAGAAAAGATTTATTTTACAAATAGAATGTAGATAGTGTAATTGATAATGAACTAGATTCAGATTAACAACTCATTATTCTCGATTGTTGAACAGAAACTTATGTAAACTATTTATGTTCAATGAGTATATAAATTGACTCAGCCAGAGACAAAATATAACTGACTTCTCAGTAGAACTGAGATATATACACAGTGATATAATAGTCAATGAATGAGAATAATTATAAGGACTTAAATTTATTGGTATCTAAGTCACCTTTAAAACCAGAATCGAATAATCATTTATGTTTTGAATACATTTTAATCATGTTTATTTTGTGTCAGATACTTTGTATGGAATTGAGTATATTTATCATCTAAAAAATGACTGATATATTGCTGACCAGCTGTTTTGTTTTCTGGTATCTGGTATCAGACAAGGGTGTCTACCCTCCCCCTTACTCTTTCTTCTGGTCGTCGAATGGATTACGAAGACCTCGGCATCTGAAAGAAAACACGGAATACAATGTACAGCTCAGAATCAATTAGACGATTTGGACTTCGCAGATGACCTAGCCCTCCTGTCCCGTACAAACGAACAAATGCGGATAAAGACAGCCAGTGTAGCAGCAGTATCTGCATCAGTAGGCCTCAACATACACAAGGGGAAAACCAAGGTCCTCAAATACAACACGGAGAACACCAACCCAATCACACTTGATGGAGAAGCTCTGGAAGATGTGGAATCTTTCACGGATTTAGTGATCAGCTGCATCATCGATGAACAAGGAGGGTCGGATGCAGACGTAAAAGAGGGGATTGGCAAGGCAAGGACCGGATTCCTACAGTTGAACAAACAACACATGCAACTCAAAGAAAACTGTCTTTTTATCCAATATCAAAGTCACAATCTTCAATGTGAACATCAATACAGTCAGTTCTACTGTATGGAGCTGAAACTTGGAGAACTAATACAACAATCATCAAGAGGGTACAAGTATTTATAAACAGTTGTCTATGAGAGATACTCAATGTCCGTTCTTGACGAGAAGCAATCAGCAACATCCTACCGTGGGAGGTAACAAACGAGCTCCCAGATGACGAGGAGATTAGGAAGAGACTATGGATTTGCTGGAGAGGGTATACATTACAGAAATCACCAAACTGCATCATGAGGCAAGCGCTTACTATTTGGAATGGTGAAGGGAAATGGAAAAGACGAATGTGGAAGAATGCACACACAACGTGGAGAATTGGAATCAGACATGAAAAGGATAAATATCAACTTGAAACAAGTGGAAAGAATTATCGATGAAAGAGTTCGATGGTGAGTGCTCCTCGATGAGGGTTAACAGGCATAACTAAGTAAGTAAGTACTATTATCATCACTATTCAATGTGTTTAATGATCTTGAATATTACCGGAAAATTTTCATTATTTTTATTAAACTAATTAACCCATCCTTATAACCACTTGATAATAAACAGCATATTACTATATGTAATCTGTGTTGTTTCTTTCTTTTTCTGTTTAGATGAATCATACCATATCATATACATGTATCATGAATTTAACCAAATAGAAGAAACTTGGCTACATATAACTTGATAGATAGATAGGTAGATAGATAGATAGATGTGCACAGTGAATGCCGGACAGGCACATCATTTGCACACATAGTCATCTATAAAGATACACAATAATTAAATCTTCGGTTAGTTGATCAATATTATTATTACTATTATTATTATTATTATTATTATTATTATTATTATTATTATTATTATTATTATTATTATTACTGCAGACATCTTGATCCAGTAACCTTGTTTCCTTAGTTAATGTTAAAACACTCCAAATTTCATTCCATTTTACCCATTGAAAAATAAAATGAAACTTGAACTTAAATGATTTGAATGTTTAATTAATATTATTACCCTAATAAACAAGATGTAACTAGTTATGAGGTAATTATTAGTATTCATAACATAAAGGTAAAATTCAATCAAACGTAATTCTCAGTATAGGGGTTGTGGAGATTATTAAGTTTTTGATTGAGATCATGAATCGATTGATGTTAGACAACCGTTAGAAACCTGGGAGCACTGGATGGCCGTTTTGTCTTATTGTGGGACTCCTTAGCAGTGCGTATCCACTATCCCGCTAGCGGGATTGGTTGATGTCAGACACTAACACCAATGAATACCGGCTCAGCGACCCAGTAGGTTAAGCGTTCGCGCGCGAGACTGAAGGTCCTGGGTCCGAGTTCCACGAGCGTGATCGTGAATGCGCACTGCTAAGGAGTCACATAATAAGATAAAACGGCCGTCCAGTGCTCCCAGTTTTCCAACGGTGGTCTAACATCAATCGATTCATGATCTCAATCAAATGTAATTCCTTGATTCATAGATCATGATTTTGTTCTGTTCTTTTCATTTTTCTTTTTTCTAGATGATCTGCCATCTTCTATAGAGAAAACTTTTGTGAAATATGTGGATGATCTCACTGTATGTATGTGTGTATGTATGCCAACTTGTGCCACTTTACATCCCTTTGAAATGAATAAGTTCTTGTCTTGTATTGAATAGTGATTTGTTATTATTGATCTCATATTTAACCTGTCTAAATATCAAATTATCAACTTTACCTTAAGACGTGAATAGCACATAAAAACCCCTGTTGGAATCCATATATAGATTGCACTATTGCAGATTCTTTGATAATCATAGTCTTAAAAGTTATTTATCTTGATGTGAGTTTTCCCTCTGATTACATATTTGAAAATAATAGATATTAGATGGTTATATGATCTTATTTTGATATAAAATATATTTAAGCAACTTATCAAGCAATACAACTCTACATCCTAACAGATTATCATATAAGTTAAATTGGATTAAAAACACTGAGTTCTAGTAAGAAGTTATGACCCGTGAAGTTTAACCATATTGTCTGTATGACAATTATCTACCAATAACGTTGAAAGATGGTTACGTGATATAGTGAAACGATTGAAGTTATATATGTCAACTATTGAATGATCATCCAGTGTTCGGAAGTTCAAAAGTTTGCCTCAAACCTGAAAGTCATGGGTTCGACCCCCTGATGAGGTTGTCAATGTTCATTGCTATGGAGTCCGATACTAGGACGAAGTAACTATCCATTATCTGTTGGTTGACAATTGTTATCTAAGTAAAATCAATTTATGATGTAAATCATATAATATAAATACAATTGTACAGTTTCAACAAATTATATCGTCTAAAAGAAAGTCACCTTTGCATTGTCTTTAATTCTTTTTAAATTAAGAATTGCTATTAATTTCGTGGTCTGGGCTCTTTAGTTTATTACTGTCAAAAAGGACCTCCTACAAATTTACATAAAAAAGAATATATGACCTGAGAGTATAACAGTAAACATAATACCTTTAGATCAGTCAGTTAGCGCTTAATAGTCAACACCCAAAACTTTAATTATATATATATTAAAAATTATCATGGAATTCATGTCAATTTATGGGCAAGATCAGGTTGAGACAAGACAAGCATCATTAAAAAGCGTGTATTATTTTGGTCATCTTACTTACTTACTTACGCCTGTTACTTCTTGTGAAGGAGCATAGGCCGATCACCAGCATTCTCCATCCAACATCGTCCTGGACAATCCTTTCCAGCTCTCTCCAGTTCTCATTCATCCTTTTCATATCTGATTCTATTTCTCGACGTAATGCGTTCTTCGACCTTCCTCTTTTCTGCTTCCATTCAGGATTCCAAGTTAGGGCTTGTCTCATGATGTAGTTTGATGATTTGCGTAATGTATGTCCTATCCATTTTCATCGTCTTTTCCTAATTTCCTCTTCATCTGGAAGGTTGTTTGTTCTCTCCCAGAGAAGGCTGTTATTGATGGTATCCGACCAATGGATGTTGAGTATCTCGCGTGGACAATCATTTATAAATACTTGTACGTTCTTGATGATGGTTGTAGTAGTTCTCCAAGTTTCAGGGTCGTACAGTAGAACTGATTGTGTTGACGTTCGTATTGAAGATTCTCACTTTGATATTGGTTAAAAAGACAGTCGTTTTGAGTTGCATATGTTGTTTGTTCAATTGTAGGAATGCGACCCTTGCTTTGCCAATCCTTGCATTTACGTCTACATCTGTTCCTCCTTGTTCATCGATGATGCTTCCCAGGTATGTGAAGGATTCTACGTCATCCAAAGTCATCACAGAGTTATTAATAATATGAGGGATAACATGCAGCTGAAATGTAAAGTTAGTCTTGATTTTCTTTTCGAGTACAGTACTATCTTCATAATATATACACCGATGATTAAAAATCTCATAGCATAAAGCTATCATTAATAAATAATGTCTGCAAAACATAGATAAGACAATGCATACGTACAAGATCATGTGCCTTTTGAAACAGTAAATGTCAGTTCTTTCACACAAAATGTTCATTAAATAGTTTCCTTATTAGCGTTCAACTTAGTGTTTAACATCACATTTACCTTCAATATTATTATGATAGTTACTGTTTTTGTTTATGAATGTTGTAGGTGGGGAATTTTGTTTTACATTGTATTCCATTTTTAGAGAAACAAAACAGAACTTATTGAAATAAGATTTACGTATGTAACATGATTTAGCGAGTCTATTGAATTGTTTTTTCATGAATGTAAATTATTTCTGTTATGTTCAAGGAATTAAGTTATCATCCTAAACTGGAGTACTCAATGAAATTCAGCAACTCAACAACAAGACATGCTAAACTATTCATCTACGCTTCAGCCCTGCTAACTATAGGAAGAAAGTTAGATTCAGCAAGGAAAATATATAATTTCTTAAGCAGCCTAAGAGAACGAAGAACAAGCACACGACCGATGAGTAATATATACAACGTCTTAATATCCTTGAAAGCGTCACAAAATGGCGTACTAAATGAGAAAACAAACTAACAGTTGTCTACTCAAAGATACTCAATGTCCGTAGTTGACCGGATACAATCAGCAGCATTCAAATGTAGGAGTGAACAAACCAGCTTCCATATGAGAAGGAAATTAGGAAGAGACTATCGAGTTGGTGGATAAGATATACATTATGGAAATCACTAAACTGCATCACGAGGCAAGCGCTTGCTACCTGGAATGGTGAAGGGAAATGGAAAAGACGAATGTGGAAGAACACACACATTACGTGGAGCATTGGAAGCAAACATGTGTAGATCATCAACGGCGATGATCTCTATCGAATGGTTGGTGCCTACTCGAGTTACACAGGAATGGTGTGACGAGCCAGCTAACTTCGAAGTCATAGCTCTCGGTCAACACCTAACGTGGATTATCTCTTGGACGTATCAAAGTATTATGTCTGCTTTGAAGATCGTATAACACAGACGACGTTATTACGGAAATAAATTGGTAAGAATGAATACAGAGCAGATAGTGAAACCACAACCGCATGGGCCAGTCCATAATATACGATCAACTGATTCGCGTTGGTTGTCCTTGACTTTGACAGGGATCGATGATCCTTTCGATATTCAGTGACCCAACTGCTGGATGATTTTTCTAAGGCTCAGTGACATTTCACCGACTTTACACATGAAAAGGATGAATAGCAACTGGAAACAACTAGAAAGGATTGTCCAGTACAGAGTTGAATGGCAAACGCTAGTAGACAGTTCATGCTCCTCGACAACAGTTAACAGGCGTAAGTAAGTAAGCAACATAACAACAATAAATCGGTTAATATAAATGTGGTAAAGTGGTGTAAAGTGATGTACTTATAATATATGCTTGTATTGTCGTAAAAGGTTGTGGCTAGTAATGCAATCGAGGATACATATTATGTCATGTGTTATACTTATCAGATGAATTCAATTCCATTCCAGTGTTAATGTTCACATTGAAACTTGGACAAAGTACCTTACACTCAAAACGACAATACCTTATTCATTAACATTGGTTATATACAAATCCTTACATAGTAATTATGTTAACGTTTAAATATTCCTTACTTGTTCCAAAGTTCAATAGTTTTATTCATTGTTTATTTTTTCTGTTATTGTTATTTATTTATATAATGTCATGTATTTGACCTATTTAACATGTTTATTTTGATGTATTTGTATATGAATAATTCAATCAATACAATGATTACATAGGATAATTGTTATATGGTTGGCAGTGGAATCCATGACGATTGTTTTATACTACTTAGAACTCGTTATCTAAATGTATCTATAATTTGGTGTTGATGTTCATTCTAGGTTTCGAACCTAGAACATTTTACTTTAGAGTGAGATTAGATGCCCAGTGATTACAAACTAAATTTGTATAATAACTTCAGTAATTGAGATTATGAATCCAGTGAAGCTAGATCACCATGGAAAGCTTCGAAGCACTGGATGGCTGTTTAGGTCTATTGTGAGACTTCTCAGCAGTGCGCAACCACGATCCCGCCCCGTGGGATTCAAACTCGGGATCGAAGAGTCTCTCACGCGAGCGCTTAACCTCAAGACAACTGAGCCTGCGTCCAACGGTGTTAATGTTTAACTTCAACTAATCCACGAAATTGAGCGACACATCCACTATTGTCATCAGTGAGTTGCTATCTCATAACTGACCTGTTTGAACTCCACTTGAACTCCAGGATATACACCTTGAAGCCAGTCACTAGTGAGGAGTCCCACAATAGGACGAAACGGCCGTCCAGCGCTTCCAGGTTTTCCATGGTGATCTAGCTTCAATTGACTCATGATCTCAACTATTGAAATTATATAATAACTGTTTTGAGATTTATAAGCAAAGATGGATAGTGGCTAGCAGTGGAATTCAGGACGCGCGTTTCGTCCTATTTGGGACTTCCAGATCAATGAGTGTACAAAATGTACGTATTCAAACATTCATTCTCGTGTTTGACTTGTTCCATTCCGTTATTCACCAACTCGAGTTAAGTCGATAATTATATACGAGAATTGACGA